CGCCGCAGCCCTTGAAGTAACTTACAGCCTATTACGGGAGGAAACGGGACCTTCTCAGCGCCCCCCGTTGCCGCCGGGCCCCTGCCCGCTACTGCCGGCAGCACGGCCAGCGAGAGGGGGAAGATTCCACAAATGGTTTTGATATAAGAGGCTGCGAGGAAACTCGTTAACTGATTATTTTCCCTCTTTGCTGCTGCTCTTTGTGCTGTCCAATAAGGCTTTTTTTCCAAAAAGTGTGTTTTTCCGAAAAGCCTTTCAGAGAGTGTCTGTATCTAACACTTCGGCAGACCCGACCGTGTCCCTGCCTGCTTGGGCGAGTCCCTGGTGACATGTGGCCATCAGCTTTGCAGCAGGGTGGCACTGGTATGTCCCACGGTGGGAATCTGCCCCACAGACCCCGGTACCACGGCAGCTCCGATTGCTGCCCATTCCCTAATTTAACAGAAATCCAATGTCACGTGTGCGTTTATTCCTAAACATCAGGGTCGCTTCCCTAGGGAAAGGGGAGGTGTGGATGAAGGGACTGTCTCACTGCCAGCGAAGGCAGCTGGAGGACCCGGGGCACGGCCACACCAGCATCTTCCAGATGCTTCACAGCACTGACTGCCCCATCTCCACCAGATTCCTGTGCCTCTGGCGCTGGGAGATGCCCTCCCCGGCCAGCAGCCAGAGCAACACTGCCGCACACCACAGCCCATTTCTAGGGAGCTTCCAAGAAATTAAAATAACGACACAAAAGGAAGAACAAATGGCAGCGCTGGGAGAGGCTGCCAAGCCGGGGGAGGCATCTCCACTGCTGCAGGTCGGACCTGTGGCCACCAGCACCGGCCGCACTCAGGACGCAGTGCTGGGCGGGGGTCCTCTCTACGCACCCATCACATCCCCGACCTTATTGTCAAGGGAAACTGTTCTTCATTTATCTCCCTGGGTTTGTGCTCTATTTCCTTGAAGCCAGCAGAAGCTGAAATACGGCCGTACCGCGCACCTCATGGAAATAAGGACAGCTTTAGTGGTGAATGACAAAACGAGTAAGCTCAGCCCCGTGGTGCGTGGGAGAAGGGGGACGGGGCTCACCTAAGGGATGGGTCTCGGTGCCTACTTGCACTTCCCCGAGCACGAGGGGTCCTCGGGCTCCCTCCCCACACGGCCCCGGCGCGGGACCCACCTTGCAGATGCCGTTGATGCACATGTCGCGGCTGGCGTTCATCTCGTAGCACGGCGTCCCGTCGATGACGGCATCCCGCAGCTTTTCTGCAAAGTATTCGTCCTCCGGCCGGCAGTGCAGCTCGCAGGGGTTAACTGGGGAACCCAACAAGCAGAAACTAAACCCGAGCAGCTGGGGGCCACGGAACCATCTCCGAAAACATAAATTAACCCTGCAAGCCCAGCCGTCATTTAAAATACTGCATAAACTGGCTGCAAGGCAAATCCTACAGACACAGACAGCAAAACCAAGCTGTTAGCAAGGCTGTGGTTCTGGGTTTTCATTGGGGCCGCAGGCAGAAACCCAGCAGTAGACTTTGCCCTCCACTCACTGTTGTTGGGCACCGGCGTCCACCTGTAGAGTTTCCCTTTGTAGAGCATGGGGTTGAACTGGCTGCACTGGACCTGGCGGAAGGAGGGCTTGTCGAGGGGACACGGCTTGACGTTGCAAATCCGGAACCGCTTCCGCTCCCCCAGGCAGTACCGGCCCCCGTACTTTGGCCTGTTCACAGGAGGAAAAGGCAAAATCAGAGAATCACAGAATGGTTTGGGTTGGAAGGGACCTTGAAGACCGCCCAGTGCCACCCCCTGCCCTGGGCAGGGCCACCTCCCCCCAGCCCAGGTTGCTCCAAGCCCCGTCCAACCTGGCCTTGAACACCTCCAGGGATGGGGCAGCCACAGCTTCTCGGGGCAACCTGCCCCAGGGGCTCACCGCCCGCACAGGGAGACAGTTCTTCCTCACATCTCATCTCAATCTCCCCTCTTCCACTTTAAACCTGTTATCCTCTGTCCTATCAAATAGAGACCTACCGCACGCAAGGGGAAACTCCCTTTTTATTCGCAGCCAAGGGAGGGCGGTTGCGTACCTGCTGCTAAGGTTTGATCTCATGAAGTTGGGTCAATCCTGAGTCCACCTGGAATCAATAGGGAGCTCTCCCAGTTATAACCCACACATTGCTCTGCTGCAATGGTCAGGGAAGGAAGCGGGCTGTGAACCCAACATCCACCCCAGAAGCATCCCCAGCCCGCAGAGTAAGCTTTTGAAATGTGTGGAAACCATACCCCACATCCTTCTTCTCCAAGTCCCTCCTGGAGCAGCTCCCTGCTGCTGCGGCTGCTGGGCTGTGCTACGGCATCATGCAGGGTGAGACCATGGACCAAAGGCAGCTTTTGCCGAGTGACAGCTCGCAAGCTACATCTTGGGTCTTGTCCCTCCTGACAGTCTCTCCTTAATGTTGGAAATACGGCCAATTTTATAGGTCTAGCGTACGATGCTATAAAAGCAGTGATTAAAGTCAGGTGTCACTGGCAGTGTTCATGTCTGAAGCCCTCCCACCTCCTGCGGCTGCAGCCGGGCACCCTTCCCCAGGGCAAAAACATCTCCTTCACCATCCCGGGTACCGTGGCGGACGCGGTGCCTGCGCTCCCACCAGCCGGGTCACCAGGTGCCCGTTCTGCGGCTGCTCCAGAGGAGCTGCTCTCCATCCCGCCTGGGATGTGCTGCCAACTCTGCTCCTCTGCTGCCCAAGGGAACAAGCAAAGCTGCCGCTGGACTCTTTTAAGCAAAAGGGACTTTAAAAGCATCAATAGGTTTTTCTCAGACGCCAACAGACTCTCAAACTACTTCCACCATCTCCTGACGCTTGCCTTTTCCTTTGCTCACAGCACTCTCCATGGCTCACATCCCCACGACCTCACGAAAACTACTTTTCCCCGGATCAGTTAAGTCCGGGCACACTTTGCTAAAGAGAATAAAGTTAATTATTATTTTAGGGTTGTGTTTACATACCCTGCCCCGAGGAAATGCCTGTGGGAGGAGGACTGCCCAGCGCTCACATTTGTTCACTCCATCCAAAAGGCAAAGCTGAAGATTTACCTACAGTGGCCAAAGCAAACAACTGCCGGGGGAAATTCTCCCGCTTTTCCAGGGCTTGCTCTCCTGCCCGCCCGCAGCTGTGTTTAAAACACTCCATAAACTACAACTGCACTTCTGCCACAAAACTCATGTCAAACACAAACCCAGCGCTTGACCTGGGACTGAGATTACACAGCGCTTCTTTAAACAGCTCGATGGCATGTGCTAAAAACAACGCGCCCGAGGAAGAAGCTGGGCAGAGAGCACATCTGGGCTCATTAGAGAGCCTGCTCCCGCTGCTTTCGGAGCTCCTCAAGCCATTGAAAAGCGACTGTCACTGGCAAATTGCTCACAAAGCCCTTTTCTCTCCCGGTCCCGGGGCGCGCTGACACCTGGGCAAGGCGGGGGCTCTGGCGGAATCCAACACAACAGCGATTTGGTGATGAAGCGGACATCTGGGGAGCAGGTGGGTCAGCCCAGAAATCACGGGACGGACGAGGCTGCTCCTCTGTCAGTGCCCGGACACTTCCAGGCGAGAGGCAGCGCTGGCTGCGGCGCTGGCAGCCCGGGGGGAGGCAGCCCCCGGCCAGGCACACATCAGAAATCGCGCAGGGGAAGCAAAGGGGTGATAAACAGCAACGGGATTTTTCAAAACGACTCTGAAGCAGGCTCAAAGAACGCCTGTTTTTCTTTTGTGTCGTTGAAGGACACCGGATATGTTTTACATCTACAAGCACGAAGTCTTTGCTCTTTGTTTGAGTCCTATTGCAACCACTCTCTGCCCGCACAGAGCAGGAGCGACTTATCCCTGGAAGGAGACAGAGCAAGCTCTGCCCCTCCAGAGGCTGTGAAACGGATCCCCTGAGCATTCAAAAGCACATTGTCCCCACTGATAACCGCATAATGGCGCAGTTTTGCTGTGCAATGCAGACAGCGGCAGGACCACAGTGGCCAGAGGATGGTCCCCGCCTTTACGGGGCAATAAGGAAGCGTTGGGTTCCTCTCCTAAACGGGGTTCGGGAGGAGCTCCAGGGGAGCAGGGGCTCGCTTACGTGGGGCTGCTGCACTGCCTCTCCGCGCTCTGCACGCCCGCGCCGCAGCTGCGCGAGCACGCTGCCCACGAGCTCCAGGAGCCCCAGCCGCCGTCGATCGCGTCGGGACGGTAACCCACCGGCACGCACTCGCCGTTGAAGCACCACTGCAAAGGGAGAGGCCGGAAATAGAGAAAACAAGGTTTAAGGATGCAATAATTGACGTTGAGTCGGGGAGCCTGGCCGCGGGGAGCACTGAAGCCCAGCACCCGTATCGCCCCGTGAAAACCCATGCTCCATCGCACGGAGGTGCCTGGGGGTCAGCTGGGCTCTGCCGCAGCCCGGCGCACCTTTCCGCGATGGGAAACCCGGAGGTGTTGGACTGTTTGAGGATTTGTCTGAGGCAACATACCCAAACCTCCACCGAGACCCCTCCGCAAGGGGATCCAGAGCCCCGAGGGAAGAGCCAGCGAGGCACAGCCACGGACAAAGGCACGGCGGGGGGGTGGAACGGGAGCATCGGCTGAGCCCGGGGTCAGCCCCTGTGCTCTGGGGCCAGGGCTTTGGGAGGGGACAATGAACCTAACAAGGAGAGACGTCTACAGATATTTTTGTAACTCTCGAGTTCTATGCCACCTCGAGCAGGAAAACCCTGTTCTAGTATGTCACCCGGGCAAGGGTGACCGCAGACGGCTGCCGACAGCGGCTCCCCTCCCAACCCCCTGCCCGGTGTATCAGCCGCC